AATATTTTATCTCTCTATCTCTCCATATAAAAGGGAATTCTTTTTGTTTCTTTTCTTTCTCACTATTTGGAAGATTTATATTTAAGATCTCAGTTTTTTTGTCGGGTTGATTTTTAAATTTGATATTTCCCCATACTCTTTTAAATTTTTTATTAAATTCGGGACTGTTATCCTAGGATTTCCCACATAAAACAACAGGTCGTCTGCAAAAGCTGCCACCTTATGTTCAGTTTCCCCTATTTGTATTCCCTTTATAGCTACGTTCTTCCTAATTGTTTCTAACAAAGGTTCCAATGATAACACATACAGCAATGGGGACAATGGACATCCCCGTCTTGTCCCATTTGACATCCCTATGGGCTCAGACTTTTCACCATTAACCAAAATAACCGCGGATGGCATTTTGTACAACTTCCTATCCACTCCCTCATTCTACCACCTACTCCCATGATCTCTAGGGTATCCATCATGAAGCTCCAGTTTACTCTATCAAAAGCTTTTTCAGCATCGATCGAGAGCACCACTGCCGGAGTTTTCCCTTTCTTAGCTTTCTGGATCAACAACATAGTTCTAATTCCGTTATCTCTACCCTCCCTCCCCGATACAAAACCAACCCGATCTCCCTGGATCCATTCTGGCATTAGATTTTTCATCCTATTTGCTAAAACCTTTGCATATAACTTTGTATCTATATTTAGGAGTGCAATTGGCCTATAACTAGAACATTGAGTAGCGTCCTTCCCTTCCTTGTGTATAAGTGTTACATGGGCTTGTAAGGATTCCTGTCTAATCTCCATTTCTCCACCCAGGGCATTCATATACTCCTTCAATTTAGGTATTAACAGTTCACTATATTTTTTTATAATACCTCACGATATATCCGTCTGGGCCAGGGCTTTTCCCCACCTTAGTATTTTTTAATGCTATTTTTATTTCCTCCTGTGTGATTTCTAATTCCAGGGATTTCAATAGATCTTCATCTATCTTTGGTAGTCCTGCATTTTTTAAATATGCTCTTCTTTTTTTCTCTGTTCTCATTTTCACTATTATTTACTAAGTTCTGAGAATTAATATTATACAGCTTACTGTAATAATCCTTGAACACCTTCCCGATCTCTTTAGTAGAGTGAGCCATTTCTCCCTTGGGGTTTCTTATTTTCTCTATGTAATTTCTATTTTTCTTTTTTCTCAGGGCTTTCATTAAATATTTTCCTGGTCGATCTCCCCATCTATACCTCTCCCCTGCTACTTTATTGAGTACTCTTGGTGAAGTCTTCTCTTGATTGTTGACTTTGACACACATACACCTACCTCCTGGAGAGTGTTCTTGATCTGGCCAACTGTTGTGAAGGGTGTTTTCTTCACCAGGGAAAGAATTCTTCCGTCATCCACCACAGTTGTTTTCTGTGGTCTTCCGGGTCTTTTGGTGTTGCTGAGCTCACCGGTGCATTCCATCTTTTTAAGAATGTTCCAAACAGTTGTTTTGGCCACGCCTAAATGTTTTTGCTATCTCTCTGATGGGTTTGTTTTGTTTTTTCAGCCTAATGATGGCTTGCTTCACTGATAGTGACAGCTCTTTGGATCTCATCTTGAGAGTTGACAGCAACAGATTCCAAATGCAAATAGCACACTTGAAATGAACTCTGGACCTTTTATCTGCTCATTGTAATTGGGTTAATGAGGGAATAACACACACCTGGCCATGGAACAGCTGAGAAGCCAATTGTCCCATTACTTTTGGTCCCTTAACAAGTGGGAGGTACATATGCAAACTGTTGTAATTCCTACACCGTTCACCTGATTTGGATGTAAATACCCTCAAATTAAAGCTGACAGTCTGCAGTTAAAGCACATCTTGTTAGTTTCATTTCAAATCCATTGTGGTGGTGTATAGAGCCAAAAATGTTAGAATTGTGTCGATGTCCCAATATTTATGAACCTGACTGTAGGTCTATACAAGGAAAGATGTATAAACTCATAAGAGGATGCAACATCACTAGCTATTGTCTATAAAGCAATTTACGCCGATGTCCACGTTGTGTCCAACTGGTGTAAGGGTCCTCATGTTGAAAATCCACTTGGTCTCTGCTTGTGAGACCAATTTGGTTTTGTTGGACCCTCTCCAATGGATCTGCCATTAATATGTTCCAATTTTTGTTAATGATTTTATTGAACATATTAATGGCAGATCCTATTCTATCGAAAGTGTTACCAGAAAAACCTGAGATTGTTTTTAGAAAGGTACCCACCCTTTGGAACAGAATTGCGCCTAACATAATAGACCCTCCTATCCGATCTACATTCTTTTCACAAATGAAAGGCTTCTATCCCTGTAAGAAATGCGTGATATGTCAACAAAGTAAAATACCGCTTGCAAAGACAGAATCCTTTTCGTCCACCTGTACAAAGAAGACATACGAGATCTCTTCTTTTATCACTTGCAATAGTAAATATGCTGCCTACCTTCTGGAGTGTCCTTGTAAAAGACAATACATTGGACGCACGACCAGACGTTTGAGGGACAGATTTAGGGAACACATTTACAACATTAAAAAAGGTTTCAAGGAACATTCCTTGTCCAAGCATTATCGTTACCATTATAATCGAGATCCCTCAACTCTTAAATTTATGGGCATAGAAGTAATTGAGAACCATTGGAGAGGGTCCAACAGAACCAAATTGGTCTCACAAGCAGAGACCAAGTGGATTTTCAACATGAGGACCCTTACACCAGTTGGAAACAACGTGGACATCAATGTAAATTGCTTTATAGACGATAGCTAGTGATGTTGCGTCCTCTTATCAGTTTATACATCTTTCCTTATATAGACCTATAGGCACATTTATTTACGTTACAGCCTACGGGGAGTTTTTTAGGTCATCCTGGTCTATATGAGTTCTGAGACCATTAGCATTGCCCTATATGAGATTTTTTTACTTATTAGAGTATCTATTGTATCAGCCAGGACATAGATTTCCACACCTCTTTACACTAATAATAACTTGAGGCATCCTGGTCTATATTATTTATCTTCATTTATCTTAATTCTTACCACATTTTCTATTTTTCATTACACTATTTTATTATGTAGACTAACAACATTTTTTATCATGAATCCGACCATGGTTATTGACTTTTATTGATTTTTATGGTTATACATCATTTACGTATGTTTTGATGTATGGTGCTTTTGTATTGTTCATTTAATGTGTCTCATGCGGACTATTTAATTGTATGTTTACACTTAGTTAGTATTTATTCGTGCTGATGAATTTCATGTCTGTTTATTTCATGTAAGGATGTATTTTGAAGACGGCTTTTTATGCACTTGCAGTATACAATGTTACTAATTTTAAACAACACTGAATATGCACCTCGTTTCCCCTTACTAATAGGGAATGTTAAATTTGGCACGCATTGTATCCATGACAACTAATATACATGTCTCTGTATATGACTTAGGGAAAATGGTGCCCAACCATTTCCCCTATTAGACTCCAAAAAAATGGCGCCCGCGCACGTGCAATGGAGGCACCAGTGGTGCAGCGTAATTAATTAATATAGTAATATTTCCCATACATGATGAATCAATATTCATATTGTTATTTAAGTGCCCAAGTAATATATTTTCAGCAATACATTAAAATAACGAGCGGCGATATTCACTGTATGCTGAACATACAGAGCCGTCTGAGCTGCATCCCCTTTCCCTGAACTAAGGGAAAATGGCGCCCACGCATGCGCAGTACGACGCCGACACTCGCCGATATGATGTCCTTGCTACAGACCAACGCAAAATGGCGCCCGCGTCTCTGCGCATGCGTACTGGTGCCGGTCTTCGGCAAGATGGCGCCCGACGTTCATTGGCGCTTTTTTTGAAAACTACAGAGTATTTAAACAGCAGAATGAAGACGTCAGGCTGCAAACGGGCATACCCTTTTTGATAATGTACTTTTAGTACGAAGCACGTCAAAGAGGAGCCCCTGAAAGTCGTTGACGTCTATGCCGCCGGACCACGGAGGTCCGGTGGCCACCCCATGACACCAGCTGGTCAGTTTGCTTCTTATGAAATTTGTCACTATATTGCTCCTTCTTACAGTGCATTCATGTACGTTTTTGTATTTATCCTTTTTAACCATTATAATTAAAGCATTATCTGAAATACTACACTATAGGCATATCCCTACTTCTTGCTCTGCCTCGAGCATTTTAAATCCCCTAGTGATCCCTGGTGAATTCCTCAGTGCCTGGAAGAGGTTGAATTATTCCATACGGGCTTGTCTAAATACCCTGTCATCTAAGGAAGCCACCCACCCCCAAGCTGCACCTCGGATCGCCCATGTGAAGAGACCCACGACTGATCCACCATATTTGACACATCGCACTTTTAATTAGCGTATCTGGTGAGTGCGCACTTTATATATTTATTGGCACACGCACCTGGACTGTCTGTTAACTGGGATCCAATCACATCCCTCCAAGATTAAATGAGAATATTTCATGATATCTCATGGTTTGAACGCATTCCACGCTCATGCGTTTTGTATTAATATTAACATCCAGAATTGGACTCAATTCACTATTATATGTGGTCACTATACATTCATCAGTATAGTGTGTGTTCTGTACATGTTATCAACGCATCTATTTCATACTTACATTTGACGCATTGCTTGTGTATGCGTTTGGCATCAATATCAACATTTAAGCTGGATTTATCATCACATGGTTTTATAAGTTATATATGGTCACTTTGCTATTATCACTATAGTTTTAACTCCTACAGTCAGAAGTGAACCCATCGTGTATGTGCGTTTTTTATGCTACTAGTCTGTCGTCTACATTTTATAGCGCTGCACTACCACTTTATATCATTGCCATTGCTAGTAATCTCACTGCAAATTTAAAAATCATCACACTTTGTGTTAAATTTAAGTATCATCTACAAAAGTAAACATTTAGGTTTTACTGCAGTACAAAAAAAAAAAAAAAAGATGACCTGAGGCTACAGCATCACTGAGTAATGTGGATTGGAAGCCAGGTAGAGATAAATTCTTTCGATCTATCCCCTCACTTTCTACAGTCACACCTAAGGGGAGAGAGAGAGAATAACAACACTAAGAATGGGCCATGAACAATCATCACTACTGTAACCATACGGTAAGAATTAATTTGCAGAGGTTTGTAAATATTTGTGGATTGGGGATACTATGTACACATTTAGAATATTGAAAAACATTTTACCCTCTTAAAAGGAGCAACCATTGGAAAACAACGTTACATGCCCACCAATATGGACCATGTGATCCCCGTAATAAGAACCCCCAACCGTTTGAGAGCGGCATTTCATGCAGAGATTAAACCAGAAGTTCAGTGAGCAAATACCTATAACCCCCCAACAAAACTCTCCACCCATGTTCATTACACATATGAAAAAAAAATTAAACCATTTTCCAAAAATACCTTAAAAAGAAGTACCACACCCAAATACATCAGCTGTGTCTACTCACAAACGATAAAAGTTGCAAGCATAATGCAAGAATGTTTCAGCCTTGGACAGTGCATCCTATCTTAGAACTGTCTGGTTGGAAAGCTGACGTGTTTTGGGAGTCAGGACCCCTTCCTCAGAGATAATTCAACCAAGTGTCCTGTCTGCCCTTTCATGGCCAAGGGTCACCAACAGCCAGCCCTCCTGTCAAAGGGCCAGTGGGCGGGGTCAGGGCATATCCGTCCATTATATCTTACGACTCAAAAACTGATACAAAAAATGTAGAATACATATAGCATGCAAACTAATCTATTTCATCAAGATTTATTGCTGTGTAGTAACAAAGATGGGAAAGAACCAACCTACTACTGGCTGCCAGATAAAAACCATCACATATGGACCATCTCATTCAAAGGATGTCAATACTGCAAATTACTAGTCCATTAAATGTTTTTTTTTACATAAAAATACTAAAACAGATAGGCGTAAATAAATATTGTAAACCATGCAAAGTTGTGCAGGTTAAAAATTGGGACCCCCGCCCAATGGCCTTTTGACAGGAGGGCAGGCTGTTAGTGACCCATGGCCATTTAAGGGCAGACAGGACACTTGGTTGGATTAGCTCTGAGGAAGGGGGCCACCTGAAACGCGTCAGATTTCCGACCAGAGGTTCGAAGATGGGATGCACTGTCTAAGGCTGAGACATTCGTGCATTATGCTTGCTACTTTTATGGTTTGTGAGTATATTTTTGTATCTAAGATATAAATACATTTTATGGAGGTAATGGATGAGGAGTTGCAACCGATTGTGTGTGTGTTTTTTATAGTTAATTGGAATTTCCCTGATTCATGGACAGCTGCACCCAAGGAAGCATTACATGATGTAATTTGAAGCATGCTTGATTGAGTGCAGGAGTTTTTTTCTCGGGAATCACAGAGGTCAGAAGTTTCCTGTAGTTGGCCACCAGGTTTACACACATCAGGGATTTTGCCCCACTCCTCTTGGCAGATCCTCTCCAAGTCATTATGGTTGGGTGGCTGACATTTGGCAACTCGAACTTTCAGCTCCCTTCACAGATTTTCAATGATGCTATTAAGATGGCCCTGACCATTACTGTGCTGCTTTTTTAGAATGTATTTTTTACAATAAGGTACGCTTATCGCAGGAATTGGTCTTTTATTTTTTATGATCCTGGTATAAACACTTGCTGCCCAGGACATTATTTATACATATGCACTATACAAGTTATTAAATATACTGTACCATATAATTACAAAAATAACACCTATTAAATTCTTACCAGTTCCAAGGCATACAACTGTAATATCTACAGATTGGACTAACTCTTTTATCTCATCTGGGAAGTATGTTTCGCACTTAGCATCTCCACAGCCAGCTGCAAAACTGACCTGCACTGGAAGCTCTGCGATGCCATCCCTAAAAAAGGATAATAAGCTATTACATACACATATCAGTGATGCCTTCACTGTTTGAAAGCCAGATCTTACATTACAAACAGTAAATAGTATAAAATCGTAAATTCAGCCTTAACCTGGCTAATGTGGATTGAAATTCAGTTAATCCAGTAAGGACCAGCCAAATTTTGATCCATGTATGGACACTTTGGTTGTACAAAAGTCAATCTACTGATCGATTTCTGTACAACCTTCCTGTCGGTTTTTCCCCACTTGATCAGTGCTGCAGGCTATAGTCAGCAGTGCTTATCAGTGTATTCTTATAGCAGGGAAGTCTCCCTGCTTTCAGAAAACAATAGCTCAGTGAAGAGGATTCCCCCATCCACACCAAATGTGAATCGAGTCATTTTTTTCATTCAACCTGTACATTTGTACATCCTGTACTGAGAATGTTTACTTTATTTCACTGAATTTCAGCTCTTTCAGGCATGGAGGATCAGTCTCACATGTGGGAGTTACCTAGGTCTGTCTGCATTGTTCGTTAAAAGCTGAGGGCTCTTGATAGAGGTAGTGAAGCAGGGTGCTGTGATGTGAAACAATGTGCTGCACAATGCTGGCCCCCTCCACCAGCCTTGCGCAGAGTGATTATGTCACTGGGTCTAAAATAAGGTAAGCAATGTAAATAGAAAGGTTTTATTTAAAAAAAAAAATGTATTAGCATGTTGATGAGTGAAAAAGGAGGAAAATATAAGCCGGTTACACTACGGCTTAAAATACAGCATTTAAAAAATACACATTTGACAACCATACAAAAAAGGCTAAAAAATTATATACAGTGTTTAACAACATGACTTAAAAAGGACCTGAACTGTGGAAGCTGTATCCAAAAAGGCAAGCGAAAGGCAAAGGACAAATATTAGCAGTAAGAGGCAGCAGTGCCTAAGATGATCTCACACTGCAAATATATACAGCTATGAGGCACAAGGTATTGGAAGTGCACTGCTATTTTTTTTGGAGGAATTGAACACAAATGGTACATTTTATGGGTTACTCCTTGGGCACAATAAACATAGAAAACCTTCACTTTTTGAGCTGAGGTCCACTTTACAGTAAACCTGCATTGTACAACTGAAAGCTGCCATTGCTGATCTCCTTTTGAAAATACTAGCTACCTGACTTTCTACAGCTTTAAATATTTAGCCCTTGTACGGCAAGAAAAATCTGGGCTTTAATACCCACATTTGCATCGCTGGGTGGGCAATTTTTATGTGCTGGGAGTGTGCTCTCAGCATACAGTCCGAGCTGCCGAAAACGTCTCTCAGTCCTGAGAAGACATCAGTAGCAGGCGGGACTGGCTAATGATCATGTGACCACTGTGACAGCCAATAACATTCGTCACATGATTGACCAATTTGATCCTTCCCCCCCCTCCTGGGCAAAAAAGTTTTAAAGGGGACGCCAGGATGGGCGGGAGGGGGTTAAGATATCAGCTTGAAACAAGCAGAGCACCTTTTACATCTACATATATTTCTAGCTGGAGATCTGCACTTTATCACTATACCTGGGAGTTATAACATACTGAGGATCTGGATATGGTTCATAGTCTCCGAATAGTCCTTTGGGATCATTGGCAAATGGGCCAATTACCTAAAGCAAAAGCATTATGATGAAGAAATAAGTTAATTACAAAATCCATAAAACATAAAGCATGACATCTTGGAGTTTAAAGCCCACCCCAAGAAAGTAAATCTCCTCCCCTAGAGTTGGGTGCCCCCGCACTGCAAGGATTAAATGCTTGTTTAGGTTTTTGAGGATGGGAAAAATAGTTATACTTACCCTATTATTCACTCCTAGCAGACAGCGCTCCACTGTGTTTTAGCAGTGGACTGTCCTTCCACATCCATGAGGTCCCTTTGGGTATGGAGACACACGTGTCTCACTCCATATGACAGAACTGGGCCAATCACCATGTCACATGACGAGTCTACAGCACTGTGTTAGCGATGACACCAGAGACCTATACAGGGCTTTCCTTTCACTTGTGTTAGCTGAATAGTGAACAGTGAAGGAAACGAAGGTAAGTATGTGCTGCACTGAGGAGGTATGCATTCAAGTAAACTTGATACTTGCCCTGCATGGGTAAAAGCACAGGCTCACCTTAAGGGCTACATTTAGGATCTTGGTTAAAGGATAAGTTCACCTTTGGAATAGGTTACATGTTCCACCCGTTTTTTAGGGTGGAACATGTAACATGTTCCCATAGTCACAGCTGCACTGACCACCCCCCTCTCTCTGACAGATAGTACAGGAAAACTTCTCCCTGTACTATCTGTTGTATTTGAAAACAGCACAGCCGCGCGGGCTCCTCCCACACGGCTGCGTCACTCATTCACAGTGTTCTGTGAATGAGTGCCCACAAGTACCGACAGCCTTAGCGGCTGTGGGCTTGTAGTTTTCAATAAACTCCCACTGTGGAGCGCCGTGGTAGTTCATTGAAACTTCCTGTCAGTATACCTACTTGGACGTACATCCCGTACAGCAAGAAGATATTCTGACAGGTCTGCAGGAGACCTGCAAGGCATCAGCAATCTACTGATTGTTGGTGCAATGCTTTACAGGTTCCTTCGGACAAAAATAATAAATGCACATTTTCTGACCTGCAAAAAAATGTGCATTTATTATTTTTGTACAAAAAGTGAACTTATCCTTTAAGGTTAAGGGTTATCAGTGCCAGGTTAAACTCTGTGGAGGCCCCTAGGCAGTTGTGCCATACTCTTTCCATTTTCGGATGATGGATTGAACAGTGCTCCATGAGATGTTCAAAGCTTGGGATATTTTATTATAGCCTAACCCAGCTTTAAACTGTCTGTCCTGTCTGGTGTGTTCCTTGGCCTTCATGATGCTGTTTGTTAACTAATGTTCTCTAACAAACATCTGAGGGCTTCACATAACAACTGTATTTATACTGAGATTAAATTATAGACAGGTGGACTCTATTTACTAATTATGTGACTTCTGAAGACAATTGGTTCCACTAGATTTTAGTTAGGCTGAATACAAATGCACGCCACACTTTTCAGATATTTATTTGTAAAACATTTTGAAAACCATTTATCATTTTCCTTCCTCTGCACAATTATGTGCCACTTTGTGTTGGTCTATCACATAAAATCCCAATAAAATTACATTTAAGTTTTTGGTTGTAACATGCCAAAATGTGGAAAATTTCAAAGGGTACAAATACTTTTTCAAGGCACTGTAAATTTTAATGGGTGGGAACAGGGGCGGACTGACAACTCATGGGGCCCCCTGGCAATAGGGGATCATGGGGCCCCTGTGTCCTTGCCGAAACTCAAAAAAGCCTATGAAAAAGGTACCAGGGGCATCTCATGGGGCCCCCTACTGACCCCGGGCCCTCGGGCAGTGCCCGAGTTTCCAAATGGTCAGTCCTCCCCTGGCTGGGAATGTTGTGAGGAGGCCTCTGGCATGGAGATGGTTACAAGATTGTGGAGAGTTGAAACCTCAAGCAGGAGGGTTGTTGTTCTGGTAGACGAAGAAGCAGGGCAGGGGCTGGTATTCTTGGTGCCATTACCCATCCATTCACAATCCCCCTTACAATCACTTTAAATATGCAATTGCAACGGAGGTTATATCTGTTTATAAGTGAAAAATAAAATAATACCGGCAGAAATTTAGAGCTATCCCGTGTTCTGCTCTCTCTGCCTGTGCTATAAAAAAAAGAGAATATTTAGCTCCCCTTGTTCTTTTCTTGGACTACATGTCAAATACAGGTGAAACTCGAAAAATTAGAATATCGTGCAAAAGTTCATTTATTTCAGTAATGAAACAGTAATTTCAGTAATACAACTTAAAAGGTGAAACTAATATATGAGATAGACTCATTACATGCAAAGCAAGATAGTTCAAGCCGTGATTTGTCATAATTGTGATGATTATGGCTTACAGCTCATGAAAACCCCAAATCCACAATCTCAGAAAATTAGAATATTGTGAAAAGTGCAATATTCTAGGCTCAAAGTGTCCCACTCTAATCAGCTAATTAAGCCATAACACCTGGTCTCTCAGTCTGGTTCAGTAGGAATCACAATCATGGGAAAGACTGCTGATGTGACAGTTGTGCAGAAAACCATCATTGACACCCTCCATAAGGAAGGAAAGCCTCAAAAGGTAATTGCAAAAGAAGTGGGATGTTCCCAAAGTTCTGTATCAAAGCACATTAATAGAAAGTTATGTGGAAGGGAAAAGTGTGGAAGAAAAAGGTGCACAAGCAGCAGGGATGACCGCAGCCTGGAGAGGATTGTCAGGAAAAGACCATTCAAAAGTGTTGGACTTTCACAAGGAGTGGACTGAAGTTGGAGTCAGTGCATCAAGAGCCACCACACACAGACGGATCCTGGACAAGGACTTCAAATATCGTATTCCTCTTGTCAAGCCTCTCCTGAACAACAAACAACATCAGAAGCGTCGTACCTGGGCTAAAGAAAAACAGACTGGTCTGTTACTCAGTTGTCCAAAGTCCTCTTTTCCAATGAGAGCAACTTTTGCATCTCATTTGGAAACCAAGGACCCAGAGTATGGAGGAAGAATGGAGAGGCGCACACTGCAAGATGCTTGAAGTCCAGTGTGACGTTTCCACAGTCTGTGTTGATTTGGGGAGCCATGTCATCTGCTGGTGTTGGTCCACTGTGCTTCATTAAGTCCAGGGTCAACACAGCCGTCTACCAGGAGATTTTGGAGCACTTCATGCTTCCTTCCACAGATGAGCTTTACAGGGATGCTGACTTCATTTTCCAGCAGGACTTGGCACCTGCCCACACTGCCAAAAGCACCAAAACCTGGATCAATGACCGTGGGATTACTGTGTTTGGTTGGCCAGCAAACTCGCCTTACCTGAACCCCATAGACAATCTATGGGACATTGCCAAGAGAAAGATGAGTGACATGAGACCGAACAATGCAGAAGAACTGAAGGCCGCTATTGAAACATCCAGGTCTTCCATAACACCTCAGCAGTGCCACAGGCTGATAGCTTCCATGCCACGCCGCATTGAGGCATTGCTGCAAAAGGGGCCCAAACCAAATACTGAGTACATATGCATGCTTATACTTTTCAGAGGTCCGATATTGTTCTGTGTACAATCCTTGTTTTATTGATTGCATGTAATATTCTAATTTTCTGAGATTGTGGATTTGGGGCTTTCATGAGCTGTAAGCCATAATCATCACAATTAAGACAAATCACAGCTTGAACTATCTTGCTTTGCATGTAATGAGTCTATCTCATATATTATATTCACCTTTTAAGTTGCTTTACTGAAATAAATTAACTTTTGCACGATAGTCTAATTTTTCGAGTTTCACCTGTAGTTCCTGCACCATGCATAAGAAGACAGTGGGAAAGGTTGAGTAGTTTAGTAAAATACACTGGGCAGGGCTGACACAACTCAGTCTAAAAAATGCTTTACGTTGTCAGCCCACTAAAGGAAATTAAAATTAAGAGCTGAGTGCAGTTCTGGAGATCAACAGGTACAGGACGTCCCCGGGTTATGAACCAGATAGGTTCTGTAAGTTTGTTCTTGAGTTGAGTTTGAATGTAAATTGGAACAGGTACATTTTTTAAGTGTAACACTAGCCAAAAAATGAATTTTACATTTCGGATAGCATAGAGAAGGGTTAACTGGCGATGCAGTGATGTGGAATTGCTAACAGGTCTGCCAGACAGTAGGTGGCAGCATGCAGTGAGCAACAAGATGGCCACCTGCAGTTTCCGGGACCAGCGTGACATCACGCTGCCTCCGTTCATAAGTATGAGTGGTATGTAAGTCGAATGTTTGTAACTTGGGGACTGCCTGTATATTTGTGTGCAGGGCTTTTAAAAGGGATAACATGTAGGCAAATGTCCCTGTATTTCAGAGATATACTATATGTATGTGTTTTTCTTCTTTTGCCTTTCATGTACTTTATATATGTTTTAAAACACATGAAGAATCATATAGTCTTTTTGTGTTTTGTCATATTCAATAATACAGAATAAAACATATATAAACTCTTACCCCAAATTTCTTTCCTTTGATGCTCCGGAAATCCAATGGTAATGTGTCCTTAAGATTCTTTAGCAGGACAAAGCTCTTTATAGCAGCTTCCACTGCAAGGTCTCTGTGCTCTTGGCTCTGAACAGAACTCAGGTCTAAAGCACTGTAAGGATTCATGCCTGGAGGGTCAAACTCTCCCAAACGCATTCGTGTGTAGAACAAGGGGTATAAACGTTGTTTCACGGTCTACAATCAGACAATAGCCAGTAATCAGGCCCCATTTTCATATTTTATAAGAACATAAAGTAAGCAGAATATAAAATACAAGGAACGTTATTTATAATATTGATGTCCGTGTTTGGATACAGCACATTTTTACTTATCACATCTGAAAAACAAAATGTATAAAACCTGTAAAACTAATGCTAAGGGGTCTATTTATAAAGCGTTTGTTGCATGAATGCCAATTGTGCAAGGTAAATGAAATGTTAATACCTGTATCGCCAGCTCCATCCAGTATGCTGTACAGCTATCTCATGGAAGTATTTCAGAAAACTATTCCACATTTTGGCCACTATATGGCGATGATGCTACAGGATACATCTTTTAGAAAAAACCACAGGACATTTAGTTCAACTTGTACAAATGTGCACAACAAATGTTTTAAAAAATAGACCCTTAGTGACCCTTATATACCCTTAATGCATAGCTAAGGCCACACTTTTTTTTTTTTTTTTTTTTTTTTTAATATCACTGTACACAATTTACCTCTATAGTGATATTTCCATATGTGACCGCATCTTTAATTTTCATGAAAACATTGTCCAACAGATTAAATGCCAGCTCCAAATTACATCCAGAATTGACAGAAACTGAAAACAGAAAAGGTATAATATGACAAATAAACACATCACTCTTTTTTGCTGAGTGTTTTTTCCTATATTCTGACTCGTGCCAATTACCTTACTAGTTGCCAGTACATAGATTTTAAACTAAACTAGCAGCTTAAAACAAACATAAGGTGGTATTTACTAAAATTGGAGCGTCCACAATCTGGTTCAACTTTGTATAGAAACCACTCAGCTTCCAGGTTGTATTGAACAAGCTGAAGGTAGAAGCTGATTGGTTGCCATGCAAAGTAGCACCAGATTCTGAGTGCTTCAGTTTTTTTAGATCTCCCCCATCATGTTGTCAGCATGCACAGCAAAACACAACTTACAGTATGTATGCACAGAAATGTCAGTGTGGAGCAGGGGCAGACTGACAACTCATGGGGCCCCCCGGGCAATAGGCGATCATGGGGCCCCTGTGTCCTTGTCCACACTAAAATCACACCCAAAAAGCCTATAAAAAAGATGCCAGGGGCACCCTACTGACCCCGGGCCCTCGGGCAGTGCCAGAGTGCTCGAATGGTCAGTTGCCCCTGGTGTGGAGTTACTTTTTAACATCCACACCTTCACTTAGTTCAGTAGTTGCTGCTGACATAAATATAGATATCAGAGATCAAAACCAATTAAATAAATTTTTAAGTTCCACTGATATATTTTAATACAAATCAAATTCCAAACCTACCTATTGCTGTTTCCAGGAAGCTGCTGGTGTACTTGTGCTCCATCATGATAAATTCAAGTGCACCCTCGTCGCTGACAACATAGCCTTCAAAACCCCATTCTTTGCGAAGGATGTTTGTCAGCAGCTTTTCATTCGCACAAGCAGGAATTCCATTCACTCTAATAAAAGACAACAAATTATTAATGTATATGTAAACCCTAAAAAAAGAACTTCTCTTATTTGCTTCCTTTTGGTCTGTTAAATATAGTGTATTTTTTAGAAATTGTGTTATATTTGTTAGATAAGTACAACAAATACCTGTAGTCTCAAGAAGATTAATTAGCCCTCCTAGTTCATATCTTGTGACTACAGAATAATTAGCCTTAATACTGTGGAGGTGAGAGAGTAATGCTGGCCACACATTATGCAAATTTCTTTCATTCAATCACAGGTTGAAGGAAATTAAATTGCTTGATTCTCCCATCAACACAGTCAGTGTTGATGGGAGAATCCCTCCTACTCTGCTATTGTATTCTGACAGTGGGAGGTTTCCCTGCCGTCAGAATACAATGATCACAGTTGGTGGCTATAGCCACCAGCAGCGATCACATGAAAAAAACTGACAAGCTGGTTGTACTGAAGCTGATAGGTAGATTGCCTTCAGTACAGCCAGCTTGTCCATGAGTGGATTGAAATGTATCCAGTTCATGCTGAACCAGCAGAATTTCATCTTGTCTATGACTGGCTTTAGCGGGTCTGAGAAGTCTGGAAAGAGAAACCTGGGCAGGGCTATCAACATTCAATTCACATAAATTCTATGTCTTAGGGCTTAGAAGCCAAGGGCATTTCTGGCAGAACAACAGGTATTTTTCTGTACTTTCAGGATCTTTAAAGAGGGACAAAACATTCGTAAGGAACACGTATGGCAGAGATGTGCTGCATATGTTTATTTATTGTATTGGCATGACATACACTTTAAAGTAAAATCTGTTAAGTCAGTTTAGCTTCTGATTAAATTATGAGCCTTAAAGAAATAGAATCTTCTATAATCTACAAGCAAATGGTGAGTGGAATAACAAAGCTTGCCGTATCTGTAATCCCCTCCTAGGCTGCCAGATCACATGTTTCTCCAAAGTTAGAGATTACTATGTATGCTAAGTGTAAGGAACTGTGTCAACAGGCTTTTGTTTTCCACAGACACAGGTAAAATGCAAGTCAGAAGGAGGCCAATTTCAGGTCAAATGCATCCATCAATGAATTCTGAATGATCTCAAAAGCATTTCAAACTGATGCCAAACCAATGTCATTGTCACAGCCCAAAGCCTGGCAATATTCAAATGTTTGGTTTCAGCATAGATCGATGTTCATAAAAATGTGAAATTAAAAGGATTTCAGTAATAGAAGATTGCAGTCATAAGTGTGTTTGAGTTTCTTTGGGTGTTCTTTAGGAGTTACAGAATCCTTTTATACCAGGCCATATGATAAATGGTGCCGTTAGGAACCAAGAAGTGTGGACCCAGAACATACAAACAGTATCAATCATAGCACACAAATAATAGGAAAAGCAGTAAATGTCAGAAGGAAATACTTTAGGTAAGCCTTTTTCAACCTCTACTGAGAATTACAGAATACATTAATGTGAAAAACTGCTCTTTACATTTGTGGTCTTTGAGAATAATCCCCCCTTACAGATAGCTAAAAATATAAGTGTCAATGATTACTTATCTGATAGGGAGTAATTGCCCATGGCTCAAGGAACCCCTGGCAACTTGTGGAGGAACCCTAGATGAGAAAGGCTGCCTAGGTTTAACCCTTTGCATCAGAAACAGAATCAGTAGCAAGCAAAGCCAAAGCCCATGGCTTCAAATCTTGTCAAATTAACTAAGTTTGGTTTAAAACTGCAGCCATATTTTTGCCTACATGGCAAAAGGCAACTGGCTCACTTTAACTTAGCCCTCTCAAAATGCACATACTTACCTTAGCAACACACTAGAAGTGAAGGAAGTGCGCTATGAGTTGCAGGGCTATGGACTCCTGTGCAACAGTGATGCCACCTAGAGTGAGTTACACACTCCTCCATACCTGAAAGTAACTGGTATTACCTTTAGCATGGGGGAGAAAACAAGTTTTAAAAGCAGAAAGTGGAACTGCAGTCAAACTTTAAAAAAATGTCATCAGCTACAAAAACTGTAGCTTCTGACTTTTAAAAAACAGCAACTCACCTGTCCCACAATCCAGAGGTGTACCCACCGCAGCTGGTTTCCCTATCCATCCTCACTCCCCAGCATCTTAATTGTTGGCACCTGGCTGTGACAGCTTGTAGCTTCACAGCCAGGTGCCCACTACGTATGCGCGAGTAGCACTTCGCCTTGTGAATGTCACATGTTCCAGAAGACTACAGGAAAAGGAAGGGGGGGGGGGGGAGAGGAGAGGACAGCTTCTGATCGCCTAGGTGATCGCAGCAGAAGTGAGAGTGGGTACCTGTCAAAATCGGGTACCCACTCCCCAAAGGTGCCAATTCTTCACGCAGAGCAGTGGAGCAGTACTTAAAGAGGAACGTCCTCTCTTGGGTGGAGCTCTGCTTGTACATGCTGGAAAGGGTATGGGTTACAGTAAACCCTTTGCTTTGCCCTGAATGTACTGTAATATAATCTTCTCATGTCCTATATCCAACAAATTTTATTTATGAGGGTGAGGTGATTTTTTGGGGAAAAAAAAGGTTTTGACTTCAGATACACTACAAAATTTCTTCCCTTAACTATAGGTGCTGTAAGGGAAAGGGCCTTTTTAAAAAAAAAAATGGAGAAGTGGAGAACTTGTCTAAAGCGAACAATCATATTTGGCTTTTAATTGTGTGAGAAAAATTAAGGAATTGAACTGGTCATCATGATAGATCCCCACTTCTGTTTAACTAGTTGCAGACTTTGGACATGCTACACATGACCAAAAGAAATTTATCCTTGCACACAGGATCTGTGTAGTGCATCCAGTCTCTGTTCTGCTTCTGGGACCCCCCACCCTCCCAGTATACCGTAATTGTCAACTGTGATTAATCATAGCAGGAATTACATTATACTCAGAGAAGAAGTCTAGAGCTCTAGCTGCCAAAAAGCAGTCTGAATTAGTTATTTAAAACAACACTGCTCCAGACTGCAATTACACAAAGATACAAAGTTACTGTACTTATTGTTACATTTGTATCTTTCTATTCATTCATCTGCAGATCAAAGGGATGAATGTGGATCTGCAGACAATGAGTGTGGCCGCGGTCCAGACAGGATTGTCACCCGGTCCGTATTCGGACCGTGGTCTGCCATTTCCTGATGCCCGATATATATGCATTACCTTGTTATCTTTAGCAATGACAAAGTTATTGCCGAATAAACAGGTTCATAGCAGAACTGTAAAAATTGATATGATTCATAGGGCATAAAACAGGTGTGAGAGACAAAGTGGTTAAACATTTCCTTTATTTTTTTATGAAAATACCCCAAATAAAGCAGTTTCTACACATATTAACATGTGGAACTGCAAAACAAACTTGTGATGCAAGCATCAGATATAAAGTGGGAGCGATGGTGGGGGTGCACTCTCAACATAATCTCTACTTGCACTCAGTGGGGTTGACTGTGCATTCTGGAAGAGCAGTTGCTGCAGAGCTTAGCAAATGAGGTAAAGTTTCACTTTGCAAAGAATACACAATCACATGGTAGGAAAAAAAAAACAGCATTTTTGCTTGCACATGATTAAATGAATGATGGAAGTTAGCAGAGTTTCCCCTCATTAACTTTGGATGAAGTCTGGAAAAAATGCAGTTGCAGAGCTCAACTTCAACCCCACTGAAACCAATGCCTTGACTCCCAAGAGCCTGCCCACACACTTTGTGTAGGGAAAGCGCTCCTGGGAGATGTAGTCCTGGGACTGTACCTATGTCAAACAGAAACTGACCTCCCAGGAGCTGTCTCTGCAAGAATTATAATGTCATATGGTAAGTAATAAAAACCGTTTCTCGCTACAGAAGGTGAAGAAAAAAAAATGCTGGGGCATGCTCTAGAGGCAGAGAAAGGGTTTTGGAAAATAATTGTCTAATGCTTGGACATTTACTTTAAAAATGATTTAGCAACCATTTCAGGATACTTACCTATTGTAGCTACACATGACACTGTAGGTCCCAGCTTCAACGCAAGCCTGAAACTGAGGCAAAAATGTCATTCTCCAATCTCTTTCCTCCACCTGTTGATTAATAAAAACCATAGTAATCAGTAGAGGAAAACTTAAAAAGCTGCAGTGGAAGAGGCAAATTCAATCTTGAACTAATCTGATTTATGCTTTAGAAAGAACAGAATAGGAAAATAATCTGATTTTTATGTACAGGAAAAGTCCCCCTAAGAAAAGGACTTCACTATTATATGGATATGAGTGAGCTCAAGTACCTATCTGAAGCGTATTTATCTGAAGGACTCCAGCAGCAATATCTCATAGCTGGAGTTTACAGTTTTACTCTCCTCATCTTTAGATACCAAATAGTACATCTTGTAAAAAAAAAAAAAAAAAAAAAACAATAGTAGCTGAGAATAACACTACTAAAGTGAACCTGTTAGAATTGAGTCACTTGTATCCAAAAGCTAGTTTCTACTGCTGCTTTTCTGCTATCTGGCCATGGCATGTATTCAACTGCTTGGATGGGTTGAAAACCTTGTTCCTTTTGGTCCTTTAGTAATGCTCAAGCCAGTGGGATAAACCAAAATGCATGTTGGGGGAAGTGGGTATTCCACATATCTGGAAGTGTGGAATACTTGAGTGATCAGGGAGCAGTAAACCAATGGTGTTTCAGTACGCAGGCCCCCGGAAAGGGGCATAACAGGTATGCTTTTGGATACAGGTAACCCTCTGACAGTGCCAATTTAATTACTAATACTAACTGCAATGAAACCATAGCAGGCTTTCAAAGCATAGGGCCCCTTGTTTCAGCTGTGCCTTAGAAACATTTTGTTTTCCACTGCAGATAGATATTTTTTTCATTTATTACAGGTCTTTTTTTTTTTTTTTTTTTTTTTTTTAGCACCGGCCATTTATGCAGCACTTTATTTTTTGTACATTCACATCAGTCCCTGTCCAAGGAGTTTACAATCCAAGGTCACATGCATACACATACATATTAGAGCTAATTTAGACAGGAGCCCACTAACCTACCAGCATTTTTTGGCGCGTAGGAGGAAACCAGAGTACCTGGATGAAACGCAGGCAAGCACAGGAAAAACATATTAAGTCTATTACTCTCAGCCACTTTTTTGTTTGGGCAAATAAAACTGTGTTTTGGAAAACTGTGATTGATGACAGTGAAACCTGCAATTAAATGCTCTTTAATACAGCTGAATGACTAGGTCTATATGCATGTCATTAAATAAGTAAACATCTGGAGTAATGCATCTATCCGCTGAACTTTGTGCCATGTACAGTTGTGCTCAAAAGTTTGCATACCGTGGTAGAAATTGTGAAATTTTAGCATTGATATTGAAAATATGACTGATCATGCCAAAAAAATGCTCTTTTATTGAAGGAAGATGATCATATAAAGCCATTTATTATCAAATAGTTATTTGGCTCCTTTTTAAATCATAATGATAACAGAACTCACGCAAATGGCCATGACCAAAAGTTTACATACCCTGGAATGTTTGGCCTTGGTACAGACACACAAGGTGACACACACGGGTTAAAATGCCAATTAGAGGTTAAATGTCCCACATCTGTGGCTTTTTAAATTGCAATTAGTGTCAGTGTATAAATAGTCAATGAGTTTGTTAGCTCTTACGTGGTAGCACTGACTAGGCTAGATACTGAGCCATGGGGATCAGAAGAGAACTGTCAAAAGTCCTGCGTAACAAGGTAATGGAACTTTATAAAGATGGAAAAGGACATAAAGAAGATGTCCAAAGCTTTAAATATGGCAATTAGTACTGTTAAATCACCTATTAAGAAGAGGAAAGTTCGGGGATTTCTTGATACCAAGCCAAGGTCAGGTAGACCAAGAAAGATTGCAGCTATAACTGACAAAAGAATTGCCTGGGATTCAAAGAAAAAAAACACAGGCAACCTCAAAAGAAATACAGGCTGCTCTGGAAAAAGATGGTGTGGTTGTTTTTAAGGAGTACAATACGGTGATATTTGAACAAAAATGAGCCGTTTGGTCGAGGTGCCAGAAAGAAGTTTTTACTGCACCAATGCCACAAAAAAGCCCATATGCCTGACAACACCTTGACGTGTCTAACCAGGACTTGTGTCATTGATTCAGTAAAGGCTTCTTTCTGGCACCTCGACCATGCAGCTCATTTTTGTTCATCATATTTTGCTCCTTCAAAACAACCACACTGTCTTTTTTCAGAGCAGCCTGTATTTTTCTTGTGGTTATCTATGGGTTTCCCTTTGTATCCCGAACAATTCTTCTGGAAGTTATGGCTGCAATCTTTCTTGGTCTACCTGTACTTGGCTTGGTATCAAGAGGGCCCTGAATGTTCTACTTCCTAGTGGAAGTGATGACTGGCATATTCAAAGCTTTGGACAACTTTTTATGTCCTTTTCCATCTTTATAAAGTTCCATTACCTTGTTACGTAGGACCTTGGACAGTTCTTTTCTGATCCCCATGGCTCAGTATCAAGCCTAGTCAGTGCTTCCTTGTAAGACCAAACAAACTCATTGACTATTTATACACTGACACAAATTGCAATTTAAAAAGCCACAGATGTGGGACATTAACCTCTAATTGGCATTTTAACCCGTGTGTCCCTTTGTGTGTCTGTACCAAGGCCAAACATTCCAGGGTATTACTATATCTATACTATTACTATACCTTGGCATCAAAACTGAATCTTGAAACTGGTACATTCTCAGGGCCCCCATGTACATCAAAGTGCTTGCAGCCTGCATTCGTTTTAATATAGCGAGGATGGTCTCCCTGCAGTCCTTTTACAAACGCGGCAGCTAGAATTCCACTAAGATAGGGATCTTCTCCATATGTTTCCTAGAGAAGAATGGCACATAAGTGATCATCTGTTCAACCAGCAAGCAAAAAAGTAGAGATGGAACATTTTAAATGACATTCACTGTATGTATTTTATCTGTGTATTTAGCCATTTATCTGGACTTCAAATTTAACATAACACTTAAAGTTAACATGTATTTTGTACAAGCAGGGCAAAGCAACAAATTCACTTTAATAACTCCCTTCTCTACAGGTGTACATACACACCATTCCTTCATTACCCTTCCACTTACATAGAACCGCGGACTGTCTCCCCACAGCCATGTGGTAGGGGCAGGCAAATCACCAAGCAGAAGAGCTGTCACATGGATTTAGTAATCATTCCATACCTGGAAGTGCCATGTATTTTCTTTGTGGTAGTTACAGCACTCTAGAAACTGTTGACCTCCTACGAATTTCATGCACTGAAATCTCTAAGACCCCTTTCACCCTGGCGCAATTTTTCAGTGCTAAAATACAATTTTCCAGCACAACAAAATTGCATGAAAACTATTCCCCTTTAAGTCCTATGTAACTGTTCACATCACTGCGCTGTGGTGTGCTGCTTTTTAAAGGTCTACATGCTGCATCTTTGGTGCATTAGCGCATCAAAAACACACTTTCCATTGTAAGTCAATGGGAACACATCAACAGTGCATCAAAAACACACCTTCCATTGTAAGTCAATGGAAATGTATCAAAAACACACCTTCCATTGTAAGTCAATGGGAAAGTATCAAAAACACACCTTCCATTGTAAATCAATAAGACCACTTCAAAAGTGTACCACATGTGTGTCATGTCCATGTTCCACAGGTGCATGCTGGAAGTCAGAAAACCAGAAACTACATCAAATACGCATTAAAAGCACGCTGAAAAATGCATACCATGTTTTTAAATGTAGCAGTGTCAATGAGACCTAAAGTTTGTAATGGATGCTGAGAAAAGAAAAAACATCCAGTAAGGGCCTGTTCACATTGTTGCACTTAAAAATGTGGTATGCATCTTCCAAAATTGCATACTGCGTTTTTACTGTGCTCTTAATTTTTGGTCTCCTGACTTCCAGCGTGCACCTGTGAAACATGGACATTTGACTCAAAAACCGAACCAAAAACGCAGATGAGGTGCGCTTATGATGCGTTCCCTTTGATTTACAAAGGGAAGGTGCATGTTTGGTGTGCTTCTGAAAAACTGAACCAAGCATGCAGAACTTTTAAAAAAACAGCACACCTGCAGGGCAGTGATGTGAACAGTTACATAGGATTTAAAGGTGAATAGATTTCATGTGCTTTTGGCTCACTAGAAAAGCAGCAAAAGAGTACCACTGTGAACAAGTACTAAGTAGCAGTTCTGTGAGCAAAAACACCTTGTTAATGAAAGAAGCCAGAAAAGAATGGCCAAACTTGTTCAAGCTGATATGAAGTCCACTGGTGCTCAAATAGGCAGCATTTATAGCTGTAGGATCCTGAACAGGGGTAGGCAACCTTCAAGAGGTGGAGATCTACCTGAACAACATGGGAGAAGTCAAAGATCACCGGGCACAGTGTCATCCAGTATCATCTCCTCACACCTGATTTAAGCCTCTAATTGCTATACTACAGTGTGTCGCAATCACGTGCATTGTATGGAAAACATGGGTTTAATCAGGTGGTGAGGGGGCAACATATCGCCTCCTCATCACGTCAAACACACACGAATCACTTTTCTAAGGAGCAGCAGTGCCAGCTGCACTTATGAATGAGCCCTTAGTTGCGCTTGGCAACGGCACCCTTAGGGCTCGTTCACACCTAAAAGTGCGGGATGGTAAAACCCTGCGTTTCAGTCACGGTTTTACTGCCCTTGATCCCTAACCCCTTGGGTGCTCTGGTAGCAGCCAAAGGTGTACACATGCTGCACCACGAAATAAGCCCTCTGCTGCTTTTGGTGGGTGCTACTGCCTGCCAATCACAACCCGTTCAAATCAATGGGGCTACTCTGCAAGAGCCCTGCAACTACATGCCTCTGCGGGGTCCAAAGGGTTAAAGCAACACAGCAATGCATTCTTTAACCCCTGGTTTGCTGTACTGCACATGTCTTCAGGGCACTTGCAGAGTGGCCTAATTTACCTGAATGGGTCTTGCTTGGCAGGTGCTACACCCACCAATCATGACAGGGCGTATTACTCCTGCTGTAGCTGTGACCTGTGTACACCCCTAGCCACTGCAGCTAAAGGGTCGGGCGGGGGTGGTAAAAACACATCTTACCTATGGGGTCTTAACACCCCCAAACTGCAAATGTAAATGAACCCTTAATCTTCTGGGCCCCCTATAAGGCTAGTTTTGCACTGATATGCTGCGGTTTACCTGCACTGTGGATGCAACACAGTACATCTGTGACTTTCCTGGGTTAGCTGCACTTTGCCATAGACGATTTATATATCCTGCAGGCATGGTGCACTTTTTGGAAGCACACCAAAACTCCTGCATTCAGGAGTTTTGATGCGTTTTCAGAAGGTGCACCAAACCTGAAGGATATAATAGAAGTCAATGGCTAAGCACAGCAAACCCGCAGCAAAGCTGCAAGTACACTGCACTGCACCCGGGTATGGGTAAACTGCAGCACATCAGTGTGAAAGCAGCCCTATACTATTATGCCCAGTGTATTGTTTCACACTGACCTGACAACCTCTTCTTTTCTGCTGCTGGCACTCTGAAGACCGCTAGATGGGATAAGAGGTGGAGTACAGTTGGTATCACTCCACAAAGTACAGTACAGAGGGGGCATCGGCTTATGCAGCTCTTGCTCCCTACTACAGCTCCAACTTTACAAGTAGTACCTCTGCATTGCACTCTGTTTGATGCTCTGGGATGGCGGGTCAGTAAGCCCAGACTGCGATCTACCAGTCACCTGGCCACGATCTACTGGCAGATTGTGATCTACAGGTTGCTGACCCCTGGTTCAGAAGGACATCTCTGAACATACAATATATAAAAAAACTGCATTAGAAAATGTAAAACTACAATAGAAAACTATGCCAAATCAAGTTAAAGGTGTCTCAGGAGCACAAATTGGATGACCGAAGGCTGGAAATACATTGCCTGGTCTAAAAATCTTGCATAATGATGTATGATAATGAGTCATGTATTAGTTATTATTATTACTACTACGGGTACTTGTTTAGCGTTGTCAATTTACGCAGCACTTTACATATATATTTTACATTCACATCAGTCCCTAGATCTCAAGGGGTGTATAATCTAAGGTCCCTAAACTAACATTCATACATACAAGGGCCAATTTAGACAGGATCCAATTAACCTACCAGCATGTCTTTGGAGTGTGGGAGGAAACCCATGCAGGCACATGGAGAACATGCAATCTCTAGGCAGGTGGTGCCGTGGTTGGGATTCGAACAGATTACCCTAGTACTGCCAGGCGTGCTGCCCGTAGATGTTCAGAACATATAGAACACTGGATACATTGACCCATCATCTTTTTTTTCAACAGTATATGGAGGTGGTGGTGTATATAAGGAATATATTCTTACAATACATCACGATACTGAGAATCTTTCAATGGCCATAACCTCCCTGAGTATTGTTACTGTCCATGTGCACCCTTATGGGCACAAGATAGGTGTAGGTAATAAAATGTTCAGAGTGTATGTTGCTGAAAGAAACACTACAAAGTGTAACTAACTTACTTGGTTTCTTCCCCAAAGTGGATGCCGCATGATATTTATCACAGGACTGAAGCAGCTAAGCCCAGTGTGGTCATCATAGTTCCCAATGGACATAAAATAATTATGTTTGGCTCTCACTTCAGTGGCGGTAGCATTAGCTACTCTGCCTACCAGTTCTGGGCTGCAGATAAAAAAAGAAAACAGATCAATTGATCAATGATAATTTCTGTAAGCATTGCTGAATGTTAGTGGCAGTAAGGTAAGAGCATGTATAGAGTAAAAACAAGTGAGCGCTCTTGATGAAGCGGCTATTGCACTAAGGTAACCAGAAAAAACCTCAAACAAATGTATAACAGGAGTGCAGTGCTAGGATTCAAATGAAAGGCTAAATTAATAAAAAATAATAAATAATAAAATAACAAATAAGAAAGTTCATAAACAATGAAAAAGTTCATAAAACATGAGAAAGTTCATAAAATGATAATGGTGATACGGATTCCAACCGCTGCGATACTTAAGTGCTTGTGCTTTGAAGGTATAGTAAGAGTGCGCACTCACCAGATGCGCATTGAATATGCGCATATAAATATATCCACCATGGTCCACTTTAGGGAACAGGATATGCCAGGTGTGTGGTTAACCTCCTTCAGGGTATTATACAGCACAGCAGAAGGTCTTGGGTTGGGTAGGTGGTCAGCTCATCCAGAGGTCCCCTTTAAGGATGGATGGGTCTTCAACCTGTATTACAGGACTACCGCCTCTGGATACTAGAATGGGCCAGGCTCAAAAGTAGGCTCTGTAAATCAGTAGCTCCATAAAGGAGCCAAACAAAAAAAGTGCCCATATTGTAGTATTTAAAAATATAATATATTTATTCCATGGAAATTCAGATTAAAATCAGGTAAAAAACGTGACAGTATTGCAGAGTTAGGCAGCCCTGACCAAAAGTAAAGACCTTCACGAGGCTCTGGCAGCATGACATCACGGCGTATTGGCTCCTCCTTAAGCTTTTCGTGCCACACACATCCTCAGAGGGGAGACCAATACCGCCATGACGTGCGCTGTCTCAATATATAGGTAAAATGGCGCATGCGCATTACGTCGCCACCATTTTGGTGGAGAATAAGAAGTGCACATGCGCCTATTGTATGCGCCATTTTGCCATGGATAAAAGAGGAATAAACAATCGGTGATCCCTGTTATTGCTAAGGATATCGTTAATTATGAAAACAAAATACATAAAGACCAGAATAATGAGTGGATCATAAGGCAATAATTAATCTTTTGTAACGGTCTGAATAAATACATTAATTAAGCCTATAGTTACGCTTAATTGCACTTCAGCGGTAATATAAAATGGAGGCATATCCTATAAAAAAGGGGTAGGCTTAACCATTAGCCGCCCGGCCAATGGCCGTTTGGCGGCTTCAGATGTGCCTCTTCATTCCCGGTGCACGCCATTTGGCGTGCTCCCGCACATGCGCCGTTTGCGGTAATGCAGAGCGGCGCAGCAGCGGGATCTGTCACGGGCCGTGCACCTCGGACACGGCCGATGACAGATCCGAGTACCGGCTCCCGTTGCTGGTACCATGTGACCTGCTGTGACCAATCACAGCAGGTCACATGACAGTTGTATACAATGGATGGCTTCATTCATGATGCCATCCATTGTATACTAGTGCCTAGCTGTGAATGGTCACAGCTAATCACATGCACATGTCATGTGATTAGCTGTGACCAAATCACAGCTAAGCACAAAAAAAAAAAAAAAAAAAAAAAAAAAAAAAAAAAAAAGCTGAATGAATCGATTTCATTCAGGTAAATGCTTGCTTATAGCAAAGTAATTCTTTGCTATAAGCAAATTGTGTAAAAAAAAAAAAAAAAAAAAAAAAAAAAAAATACTGATCACTTCCCCAAAGTAGTACAGTGTTACTATGGTAACATTGTACTACTTTGGTCATAGTAAAATATGAAAAAAAAAAAAAAAAAAAAAAAAAAAAATGTAATAAAAAAAATTATAATATAATAAATATAATAATAAAAAAAAAAAAAAATATATATATATATTTTTTTTTTCATACTGTCACCAGTCAGTGTCCCTGTTAACCGCCATGCCAGTTATATGATGACGCTGTACTGCACTGGTGACAGTATGTAAAAAAAAAAAAGTGAAAATAATTTTTTTAATTTTTTCATTTTCCGAAAAATTATGACATAAAAATACAACTTCAAAAAACTCGCCATGCCTCTTATGAAGTACGCCGGACTGTCTACTCTGCAAAAAGGGGTCATTTGTGGGATATCTGTACTGTTCTGACATTCTTGGACCTCAAGAAATTAGATTGGCTGTCAGTACTTCAGGATTGATCAATATTCAGATCTATACCATAGTTTGTGAACTCTCTAACTTTCCTACAAACTAAAAAATACGTCCTAATTTGGGTTATTTTCACCAAAGACATGTAGCAGAATACATCTCGGCCTAAATTTATGAAGAACAATTATTTATTTGTAAACTTTTAGAACAGAAACAAAGAAAAATGTGTTTGTTTTTTTTTTCAAAATTTTTGGTCTTTTTTTTGTTAATTTAGCAAAAAAAATAAAAACCCCAGCGGTGATTAAATACCACCAAAAGAAAGCTCTAGTTGTGTGAAGAAAATGATAAAATTTTAGTTTGGGTACAGTGTTGTATGACCGCGCAATTGTCATTCAAAGTGTGAGAGCGCTTAAACCTGAAAAATGGCCTGGGCAGGAAGGTGTAAAATTGCACGGTATTGAAATGGTTAATATTACAAATTAAAGCTAAGAATTTATAGCTAAGAATTTATATAGGGTTTAATATATATTCATATAAAATCTTTTTTCACTGGTCATGATAATAACATCAAAATAATTTGTAGATCAAGATATATAACAATGACTTCTTTTTAAAAATGATGGTCGGAAAAAAATATGAATAAAAAACATTTTTTTTTTCAATACTAGGGACCAAGTCTATTGGCGGCAAAAAGGCTTATAAGACATAATAAAATAATGGTGAAATTAAAAGTTCATATAACATAATAGTAATGAATGTTCTAAGGTCAATAAGACCAGCATATGTAATTAATTAAATTATAATAGATATATAAAAGACTATCCATATAGTAAAATTCGTACAATTAAAAATAAATAATCATTAAATTGTAGAATAGAATAGGTATGAAATATAAGACATAAAAAAAGGCCAAATAATTATAGGTCCATGATTATAAAAAATCATAATATATAAAATAAAAAATAATACAATATTATAAAATCACATAAGTAGAAATAAATAACAATTACAAATTCATGGATTCAGCTGTTATCAATAAAACAATTCACATCGACCTCAATATTGTGTCCTGTAGGGTATAAAGTACCAATTTCAAAAATCCATTTGGTTTCCAGCTGCGAGACAGCTCGTTTTTTGTGTATGCCTCTCCAGTGTCGAGTAACACTATCTATACCTACAAATTTGAGGGTGGAGGGGTCTTTGTCTACATTATCAAAAGGGATTTAAGGAGCACTCATAGTCTAAACATTACAAGCTTTGTCATAACAAAGACCCCTCCACCCTCAAATTTGTAGGTATAGATAGTGTTACTCCACTACCTGGCATATTCCATTCCCTAAAGTGGACCTTGGTGGATATATTTATATGCACATATTTAATGCGCATCTGGTGAGTGCGCACTCTTACTATACCTTCAAAGCACAAGCACTTAAGTATCGCTGCGGTTGGGATCCGTATCACCATTATCATTTTATGAACTTTCTCATTTTTTATGAACTTTCTTATTTGTTATTTTAATTATTCATTTATATATTTTATTAATTTAGCCTTTCAATTGAATCCTAGCGCTGCACTCCTGTTATACATGGTAAGAGCATTGTGTGAATAATTCTAACTTCTGTGCTTCATCACTATATGTTAAATTTATACCAAGTATTTCTAGTTCCAATTGTATTGTAAATTGCAATGCTTCATAAACACCCTGAGGCAGGTATTACAAATCTATGATAGCCACACAGAGGGACTTGCAGAACAACCTAGTTTAGTTGTAACCAATCAGATGCTGTCTAGACTGAACTGTCACCGTTGCAAGGTGAGGAAAAAAAGAAAAGTGGTGGGGATTTCAAATCTCCAACACTTTCTCTCCTATCCTACCACTGACACTCAGCATGGGATGCCTGCAGCATGGTTTCCAGCACCACTCCTGTGTGAACTCGGACTATGACAATGCTGGGTTCACACACGAGCATTTTGCCATTAAGGCAAATCGCACCGCAAAGTATCAGTACTCGGTATCGGCAAGTACTTGACCGAATTATTATTCAGGATTTATATAGCGCCAACAGTTTGCGCAGCACTTTACAATATAAGGGAGACAGTACAATTACAATACATTTCAGTACAGAAGGAATAGGAGGGCCCTGCTCGTGGAGCTTACAATCGAAAGGAATGTATCGGTACTTGTACTCGCCAATAAAAAAAACAGTATCAGTGCATCCCTATAGTCAAGTTAAAACATCTGTCCATAGGTAGAACAGGTAGCATCTTGCTTGTCTAGAACACCTCAAAATGAGATCTATCTGCTACATTTTCTGATCATCTGGCAGTTTTGTCTTACTGACTTCTGATTATTCCAAATCCTACTGTTGCTTTCTCCATAATTTCAGTAATTAAATGGTTCAAAAGGAACAGTGGGGACTCCTTATAATGACCACAGCAGACCAAAACATACAGTAAATATTAGTTTTTAACTTTTAAAATCTATCTTTTTCAGCTAAAGAAGCTGCCATCTTAGCCTCTGTTTGATCTTCAACTGCCATGATGCTGCACATGTGATCACTTACGACACCAACCACTTGATGTCTTGACAGTTTGGATGAGAACACAAGCAAATGTGACAGTTAACATTTCCAGCATGCCGGGAATTTAACTGTTTTTTGAAATTGTTAAATCAATTGGTTTAGTTCTGCTTTAAGCCCCCATTCAAATCAAAGCCGATTTTGAAATCGTGCAACTTACAATGAAGTCGCACGATTTCAAAATCGGGTGACCTGCCGATTTCCTTGTGATTTGCAAGACATCTGACACAGATGTTTATGCACATCGAAGGAAAAGTAGTGCATGCACTACTTTAGAAATTGGTGCGGCTCCAACCAAGTTGGAACAGCACTGATATGACTGCTCTAATAGCAGACAATAGGGTGTGACTTGGCCTACAATTTGCAAGTCGCCTGGCATGCAAAATCGCACCCAATGAGCCCAGGGGCTGAGTATACAGACACTTTTACCTTAATTAAAGAGAGTATTCAGTAACCCTTATTAAAACTTTCAGAGTAGATGTTGCCATAAAGCTAAATAGTCCTCCTATTTTGTGGAGACTGAGTAGTACCAATACTTCTATTGGTCTTATTTGCTTTTGTTTTATTTTATGTACGTGTGTATGTATATACATATACCATATACACTGTACGTATTAAAAAAACAAAAATAATTATTTTATTTAAAAAAAAATACCTGAATGATGCAGCCAGTCCTAAAGCCTGAGGATAAGAAGTAGCCCAGCCTGGGGCTTGGACATCCCCTCTCAGACATTCTGTGTTCCAGTTATAGGGCTTCACACCCAAGCGAGGGATGGCTGGAGCTGGACCATTTTTTTCAGTGCACCTCCTCTTGCCATCTGAGATTCAAGAAAAGTTTAACAGTAACCATAACTGTTATTAAAATACTTATGTATTAAAAACTACTATAAACAGTATAAGCCAGCAATGGGCAAACTACGGCCCGGCGGACCTTTTAATCCGGCCCGTGGAGAGCGTGAGGGGAGCTAGGCTCCTCTCACAGTCCGCCCTGAAGACCGGTGTAGCATGAAAATCTGTCTCCTATGAGGATCTGTCCCCCCTCGACGTATCTGCGCATGTGCCGGAGATCGCCGATCGGCTGCTAATGCCTGAAAACTGGCACATGCGCAGATACGTCGAGGGGGACAGATCCTCATAGGAGACAGATTTTCATGCTACACCGGGACGGTGCGGGAACACGGCGGGGGAGGAACGCGCGGAGCAAAGGTAAGTGAATTGACACAGGGGGGACTTAATATGGGGGATGGGAATTAATATGGGGGATGAATTAATATGGGGGATGAATTACTATATGGGGGATGAATTACTATATGGGGGATGAATTACTATGGGGGATGAATTACTATATGGGGGATGAATTACTATGGGGGATGAATTACTATATGGGGGATGAATTACTATATGGGGGATGATGAATTACTATATGGGGGATGAATTACTATGGGGGATGAATTACTATGGGGGATGAATTACTATATGGGGGATGAATTACTATATGGGGATGAATTACTATGGGGGGTGAATTACTATGGGGGATGAATTACTATATGGGGGATGAATTACTATATGGGGGGGGGGATGAATTACTATATGGGGGATGAATTTACTATATGGGGGATGAATTACTATATGGGGGGGATTATTTACTATATGGGGGATGAATTACTATATGGGGGATGAATTACTATATGGGGGATTAATTACTATGCTTACTATGGGGGGATATTACTATACTTACTATGGATGACACATACACATCATTCATCTACTCTTGGTCCGGCCCCCGGGTCCAATATATGAACCCATTGCGGCCCTCAAGTCAAAAAGTTTGCCCACCCCTGGTATAAGCTATTCTTCATGGCACACACACTGCAGTTCTTTCATAAAATAGCAGAAAGCACTCTCTACTATGCAGAAAAGTAATACTGGCCAGTCATTAGAAAAAAAAAATCAAAGAAAAATGGTTTACTTACTACTATAGTCAGTAAATATTAACTGCATAAGCTCTAGCCAATGATCACTGTAACAAGCTGTTACAACAATCACTGAAGCAGATGCCAGTTTGACTGCTTTTCAGATCATGTCCTGGAGCAGCCTTTCTCAACCTTTTCAACACAGAGGAACCCTTATAAAATAAATACAGTCCCAGGGAACCCCTACTAAAAATGACCATATCTACAACTCATGATACATTAGTGAGATGGTCACTAAAAAGAATGCCCTTTACACTTGTGGTCATTGGGAAGAAATAACCCCTTACCAGATCAGAAAAATCAATGGTATCAGTGGTAACTTATCTGAGAAGTATAAATTGCTCAAGGAACCCCCTAGAAAACTCTGGAGGAACCATCCTGGAGGTATCAGTAGAAGATCGGCGGATAGTTTAAAATCTATTAGCATTTTGCCAGATTTACACTTTGTTTTGTGCATTTTGTACTCTACACCTTTTTTTTTTTAAATTAAAAATAAAAATGCTTGCAGACCCACTGTCACACATTAGACAGCCAGTAGATATCCCCATAATAAGAGGGATGTGCTGTGTTGATACCAGCTTCTGCATAGTTTCTACATGACTGGTACTTGAAATTAAAATCAATTACAGCTTTGGCTCAGTTTAAGTTTTGAACAGTTACACTATTTTTTCTTTATGTATACAATAAATTCATTACAAAGTATTCTCAGAGCATTATGGGTTAGTCAAAGAGCTCTCACAGCAAAAGCATAATGGTATATTGTAGTTTGTCTGAAAATGGAGATGAGGCAGTATGAGAAGAAATGTATTTTATATATGTAAATTTCAACTTGAGCTACTGAGCTCTGTACACAACAGGATTTTATTTTTTTCTCCACATAAAACATTTCTTTAAAAATAGGATTTTTGACTTACCATTAAAATACAAGAAACACATATTCTTAGTCATAACCATGGGTTATATGCAGCTACTTTTAGGAGTTTGGACACTTGAAAAAATAAACCTCATAACCCTAACCTTGCACTATAGGTGACTTTGCAAGAAGCTGACTTCCTGGCTTTCAGGATGGTAGGGATGGTCCTCAGGATCTGGGTTTCAACAGCCATGCCAATAATACCAGAGACCAAGAAACAGGATGGTGGACCAGTCCTTGGTACAGAAGGTCCAGATGATCAAAAAGGGCCCAAGGAGAGTCCGGCAGGGGTCTGGGTTAGTTTGGTGCAATGAGAATCACTTGTGACAGAATCATTGCTGAATCTGGACATCAAACAGTCCATGTCTGGTGTTCCGTTCTGAGAACTTTCCTTGTCTTTTGGTAAGGGGGACCTTAGGCTGCCTGCTAAACACCTCATTAATTTTCTTTCCGGAACTGTAACTTTGAAATAAAGATCGACTTTAACAATGCCCTGTACATAGAATTCTTCCTATCCTAGAAGTTAAAGCTAACTTGTAGCCTATTCTCATTACTAACAAAAGTATTTATGTTAACATAAATGCAAACATGTAAACGGTGTAGTAAACAAAATAAATTACCTGAAGTACCATCTCATCAAGGCTAAGTCTGCCGATCAAATCCTTCACTCGTGCATCCCATGGCAGTGAAGGATTCATGAAGGGATAGTCCTGCCCCAGACAATCTGGGACATATAATAAAAGCACAGATGTAACCAGGATACTGGTTGTACCAAAACATAGCATGACAGGTTTTGTTCTCCAGTTGCCAAAGTAAAAAGGTACACAAGTATTTCTGTAAAAAGTAGATGGGGTAAATTTAAGAAACTGCTGCTGCATATCAATATAGCATATGAGTGATATATACATCTTCTAGTTCAGTTAAGTCCACTTATATACAAGTTCACTAAGGAGCTTATGATCTGTGGAAAAGGACTACATAACAAGAGGTTTTCCAACATATTGCTGGACAAGTAGATCGACTTTAATACAACCAGCCTGCTAGATTGCATAGATTGATTGAAATACTGCCGGTTCCTGCTGAACTGGCTGTTTTTAATCCATCTATGGCCAGCTTTAAGTAGTTTGTTAGGGCACTGATGTAAATTGTGGTGTTGTCGAAATGTTGTTTTTTTTTTTTTTTTTTTTTAGGCGCATGGACACTATTGTTACCACCACTAGATGATTGCTGTCCATACATTGTCACCGTTGTTACCACCACTAGATGTTTGTTGCCCACATATTGTCTCCAGTGATACCACCACTAAAGGTATGTTACCCACACTGTCCCTACTGTCACCACCACTGGATGATTGCTGCCTACACATTGCCACTATTGTTACCACCACTAGATGATTGTTGTCCATATATTGTCACCGTTGTTACCACCACTAGATGTTTGTTGCCCACATATTGTCTCCAGTGTTACCACCATTAAAGGTTTGTTACCCACACTGTCCCTACTGTCACCACCACTAAAGGTTTGTTACCCACACTGTCCCTACTGTCACCACCACTGGATGATTGTTGCCCACACATTGCCACTATTGTTACCACCACTAGATGATTGTTGTCCATACATTGTCACCACCACTAGATGTTCGTTGCCCACATATTGTCTCCAGTGTTACCACCACTAAAGATTTGTTACCCACATTGTCCCTACTGTCACCACCACTGGATGATTGTTGCCCACACATTGCCACTATTGTTACGACGACTAGATGATTGTTGCCCATACATTGTTACCACCACTAGATGTTTGTTGCCCACATATTGTAAGGATTTCCAGTGTTTCCCACCTACTGGAATGAGTCTGTAGCCCCTTCGTTGCCATGAACGCCGGTGTTTTGCTCAAGTAATACAACATATTGCCATGATTTCCCATGATTACCCATGTGTTACCTTATCTTAGTTGTATGGCATCATCTATGTATGTGACAAAATCTCTGCTATTTGTTTTGGAAACAAATAGTGCTGTCTTAAAACCTGTGATTTCTCCCATTCCTCTATTTTGACATAGTGTCGCAATGCCACTAACTTCCACAAAAACTCAGGCGTGTGGGGTTCCAAAAGTTCCCAGGTATGCAGGCTGCAATGCACCATTTATTGCTATACATTTATATTTCAGTAAAAGCAAAGCTACTATGTGTGTGACCTGCATTCAAATACACTGCAGATCTTCAGTATTTCATGGCAGAATGTTGCACAGCACATCCCTACTCCCAGTTTCTTTGGAGGCACAGCTAGCAGCCTGCACAAATCACATGATAACTGCAATGTATTAATGCAGCTTTACATGTATGAAATGAATCAATCTATGCCACACAACTCCCCAGACACCACACATACATACCTTGACTCACAGTGATCAATTGTTGGCAGGACTAAAAAACTTCTCACCATTCATCAACTTCCTATTTTCTAACGGAACAACTAGACTTCTGGGTAATGGAGTTTTCGTTACTAACTCTATGCGAACACTAGAGGGAGACCTTTCATGCTGCACACATTATAGAACAAATGCGGCTATTCTCCAATCTGACACCAGAGGGCAGCCATTCAATGGTGTTCTGCAGCACATATCTGGTATGTAAAAAAAAAAAGCAAAAAAGTGATAATTACGTGTAGTTTTTAAGGAGCAATTTACTGTGGGACCAAATGAATGTTATTTATAGAAAATAACAATAGAGTCATGGGTAAAAAGTTGGCGAAGAGTTTAGCCTATGATGTGGGTTAAGTGGTTTTGCCATTTAAGCTAGTCTCTAAGAAAATTGGATCACTTTAAAAAAAAAAATTGCCTTGTTGCTGTGAAAAATTAAGAAATTTACAACTTTCAACTTTATATACAAGTTAAATTACATTTTTAATTTTTTTTATTTACTAAAAATTATTTGGAAATGCAAATAGTAAAATTCTAGCTTTAACTTTATTTTTAAATAGTTGTCACCTTTGGGTGGGTTGGGTGCTTAAAGCAGTATTACACCCAATCCTTAGAGGTGCTTAATTTTCTGGTTTTATTTTTACCAGGTTATCCAGCAACACACTTCCTGTATTAGGGTGTCTCCACTATGGATAGAGGAGCAAAAGGAACACCTTTGGACAGCAGCGTTGTCAGTTTGAGGAGAGAAAACTGTTAGATGCACTAACTTTAGATAGCCTTGTCTAACAAATAAAGCAAAGCTCCAGCTAACTTTTTTTTTCCTTTTGGTATAAAGATTTTACATAAATTAATAAACGCTGATCATTGTAAGCACCCCTGTTGGTGTCAAATGGTTCGTCTCAGCCCCCTAACTGCTACTTTTGTTGGACAGCTTGGTCTGTTTTTCAATTTTTTTCCTTTATGTGTTATTTTTCAATCTCCCCCAGACCCTCCTCTCCTACTAAGACCCTCACTGAAACCCCCCTCTCCTCCTCAGACACCCCCAGAATTCCCCTCTCAGATACCCCCTCTCCTCCTTAGACCTCCCCTTCTCCACAGGCCCCCTCCCGACCCCCCTCCTTTCCTCTGACCCACCCCTCTGCTCCTCAGAACCCTTCCCAGACCAACCCTCTCTCCTAGGAACCCTTCCCAGACCGACCCTGTCCTCCTCAGACCCCTCCTAGACTCCTCAAACCCCCCTCTACTTTTCTGACCCCTCCTATCCTTCTCAAAACCCTCCAGACCTCCTCTTTCCACCTCCTAAACTCCCCCTTTCCTCCTCAGACCACTCCTTTCCTCCTCAGACCATCCCTTGCATCCTCAGACCTCTCCTTACCAGACCCTCCCCCAGACCCCCTCTTCTCAGACTCTACCCCTCTCCTCTTCAGACCCACCCCTCTCCTCATCCGAACCCTTTCCAGACTGACCCTCTCCTCCTCAGACTCCTCCTAGACTCCTCAGACCCCCCCCCCAACCCTCCTCTACTTCTCCGACCCCTCCTATCCTCCTCAGACCCTCCCAGAACTCCTCTTACCTCCTCAGACCCCTCCTTAGACCCCTTTCCTCCTCTGACTTCTTTTTTCCTCTTCAGACCCCTCTTTCCTCCTCAGACCATCCCTCGCTTCTTCAGACCCCTCCTCTTCTCACCAGACCCCCCCTCTTCTTCTCAGATCCCTCTCCTTCTTAGACCCCCCTCTTCTCTTCAGTACCCCATGTGTCTTCCTCAGAAACCTCTCTCCTCCTCAGACCCTTCTGACCTCCCCTCTCCTCCTCACAACTCCCCTCCTTCTCAGACCCCTCTCTCCTCCCCATACACCCTTGTCCTCCTCAAACCCCTCCAGACTCCCCTCTCCTTCTCAGACTACCCCAGGCCCCTCTCTCTTCCTCAGACCTCCTCAGACTCACCTCTCATCCTTAGCTTACCTCTAGACCCCTCTCCTCTTTAGCTTACCTCTAGACCCCCTCACCCCTTCTTTTACTCAGACCCCCCCTCTCTCCTCCTCAGAACCCCCCAGACCCCCCCCCCTCTCTTCCTCAGACCCACACCCCCTCCTCCTCACACCCCTATTTCCTCCTCAGACCCTCCCCTTGCCTTCTTAGACTCCCCTCTCCCTCAGACCCCCCCCCCCCTCCCTCCCAGACCCACCACTCATTTTCAGACCCATCTTTCCTCCTCAGACCTCCCCAGACCTCCCCAGACCCCTTCTCCTACTCAGACCCCTCTCTACTCCTCAGACCTCCCCAGACCCCCCTCCTCGGACCTCTCTGTCCTTCTCATACCCCCTTTCATCCTTAATCAATTCTCCTGTCCTTCTCAGACCCCTCTTCTCCTCCACTGGCCCCCCTCTCCTCCTCAGACCAACCCCCCCTCTCCTCCTCAGACACCCCCAGACCCCCCTCTCCTCTTCAGTTTCCCATGACTTCCTCACAACCCACTCTCCTCCTCAGACCCCCCTCTCCTCCTCAGACCCACACCTCTTCTCCTCAGAGACCTTCCCAGACTGACCCTCTCCTCCTCAGATCCCTCCTAGATTCCTCATACTCCCCAGACCCTCCTCTACTCCTCTGACCCCTCCTATCCTTCTCAGATCCCCTAAACCTCCTCTTTCCTCCTCCTAAACCCCTGCTTTCCTCCTCAGACCATCCTTCACTTCCTCAGACCCCTCCTCTCCTCACCAGACCCTCCCCCCAGACCCCTCCTCTTCCTCTAAAACCCTATTTCTTTCTTAGACCCCCCCTCTCCTACTTAGCTTACCTCCAGAACCTCCTCTCCTCCTCTGACCCCTCTTTCCTCTTCAGACTCCCCCAGTCTTCCCTCATCTCCACAGACCCCTCCTATCCTCTTCTGCCCCCCCAAGACCCCTCTCTCCTCCTCAGACACCACCCTCTCCTCTTCAAATCCCCCCCAGACCTTCTTCACCTTCTTAGACCCCTCTTTACTGCTCAGATCCCCTTCACACCCTCCTCTCCTCCTTAGCCCTTCCTCTCCTCCTCAGACACCGACAGAGCTCCCTCTCTTCCTCAGACCCCTATCTCCTCTTTAGACTTCCCCCTCTCCCCTTCACACCCCCCTTTCCTCCTCAGACTCTACCCAGACTTCCTCTCCTCTACAGACTACCCTTCTCCTCCTCAGACACCTCTTTCCTCCTCAGAACTCCCCAAAACACCCTCTTCTTCTTAGAACCCCCCACAGACCTCCCTTCTCCTCCTCAGACTCCCCTTTCCCCACCTCAGAACCTTCCTCTCCTCATCACTCTCCCCTCCTCAGATGCTCTCCAGACCCTTCTCTCCTCCTTAGCCCCCCTCCTCCTCAGACACTCGCAGAGCCCCTCAGACCCACCTCTGCTCCTTACACCCCCCTCTCCACTTCAGACAC